GGCCTATCACTGTTGTGGCCTCTCCCGTTGCGGAGGACAGGCTCTGGACGCGCAGGCTCAGCGGCCATGGCTCACGGGCCCAGCCGCTCCGCGGCATGTGGGATCTTCCCAGACCGGGGCACGAACCCGCGTCCCCTGCATCAGCAGGCGGACTCTCAACCACTGCGCCACCAGGGAAGCCCCATATTATTTTATTATAAATTATTTATCTCTTATTTCTTCTTTACATTCTGGTGAGTGAATTTATACTAGTTTTTTAAAAAATGTGTAAGTAGACTGTATAATCTATGAATTTTGTTTCAGAATAATAAAGGAAATAATATGGAGACCTACAATAAAATGTAAAATGGGTGTTGAGTCTGAAAGGTGAAGAACCACTGGTTCTAAGAAACACTCAGAAAAACAAAACTCAGAGGATCTTGAAGGCCCTCTGTAAATGGTAGCTATTCTTCTTATTGTAACTATTATATGGGTCTAGCCATTTATTTTAGCTTTTTATTTTGAAATAACTTTAGATTTACAGAAAGATTGCAAAAATAGTACAGAGAGTTCCAGAACACTTCACCCAGCTTCCTCTAATGTTAGCATCTGCTGTAACCTGAGTACCATGATCAAAATCAGGAAATTAACATTGATACAAAGCTATTAACTAATCTACAGGCCTCACCCACCAGGTTTCCCACTAATGTCCTTTGTCTGGTTCAGGGTCCAGTGTCCCACTTTGCCTCCAGTCACGTGAGCCTCCTTAGTGTCCTCCAATCTGTGACAGTTCCTCAATTTTCCTTGTGTTTTATGACATTCACATTTCTGATGAGTCAGGCCCGTTTTGTGGGATGTTTCTTGATTTGGATTTGACCGATATTTTCTCATGATTAGATTGAGGTTATGTATTTTGGGCAAGAACTCCACCAAATGATGCTGTGCACTGTGTTGGGGCACATGATGTCAGCATCTTATTCCTGGAGATGTTCACTTTGATCTTGTGGTTAAGGTGGCTCTTGCTAGGTTTCTCCACTAAGTTACTGTTTTCCCTTTGCGACTAATAAATATCTCATAGGACTTAAACTTCTTTGACACTACACAAATATCCTGTTTCTCACTATACTTTTCCCACTGATTTGGACATTCCTTAATGTCTTGCCTACAACAATTATTACCGTGCTGTTTGCCCGATCGTGATTTTCTATTTCTGTAATTCCTTTTACACTTATTAATGGAGTTCTACTGTAAAGAAAAGCTGTCCCTTCTCCCCTATTTATTTATTTACTCAATGATTTATATCAGTATGGAGGCATGGGTATTCATTTGTTCTATGGATTAGGTCTGTTACTTTTATTATTTATTATTGTGTTTTAATTACGAAAACTGGATTTTGGAAGAGTGTGGAAGGGGCTCAGGCCTGCTTCTCTTATTTTGGAAAAGGAGGAAATGAGGAGCAGGGAGGGGGGCGGTCTTGCCCAGGATCCCCTGTACACAGCAAGCTGATGACGTGGCCAGGGTGATTCTCAGGCCCCTTTGACCCCAGCTGTCTCCTCCGTTCAGAGTTACTGCTGCCGAGAAATGCGACTAGCTCGATCCATAGGCAGGTGACTGTGTGGAGGCTGCAGCCAGAAGCTACCCCACCCACTAACTGGGTTCTCTGTTCTGCCCTCCAAGGACCTTCTGGTGCTGAGCACCTGAGTGACAGAGGCAGAGATGCTGCCGCAGCCCCGAAAGAAGCCAGAACCAGCCCTGGAAAGGCTCGTCCTGACATGGTCCCCGGCTCCAAGTCCCTTCAGCCCTTCGACAGTCCTCTCCCCAGCCCTCCAACCCTCTTCTCACCTGCCCCCACCCTGAGAAAGGGCCCAGCCATTGCCCCTATTGACAAACAATCTCATCCATGGTCAGCCCTGCTCCCCACCCGCGCGGGTGGATGGCGGTTGCCTGGAGGACTGAGTCCTCTTGGACTCCAGGCCGCCCCCAGACCCCACGCCGAGAACTTTAAGCTTTCAATAAAAGATTCCACTTTCCTTGCAGTTGGGGTGAGTCTCCACAAAGGACCCTCCCTCAGGGTCTGGGTGTTTCTTTCCTTCAAGTCTTCGCGGGAGGCACCTGGCAGATGTAGCTACAGCTGCAGGAAGGGTGGTTCAGTTCATGACTGAAAAATGCCAGACGCCTCTGAGGTTGCTGCGGATGGGCCGGAGGAGACCTTAATTCAGTTCTCATTGCTTTCCTCAGCCTTCACTTGGCTTATCCCTCATGCCTCAGTCCCCCCACCCCGCAACTCCGCAGCACACGGACTCAGAAGCAGCAAGTTCAAAGTCACCAGACTGACTGCACACTGCCAGAGAGACCGCCCTCTAGCCTAACTGCCAGGCACCAAGATGACAAGGGTCTCCTCTCCTTTCTCAGCTTTCAGTTGCCCTCTCACCACCCACTCCCCTCTATGTTCCCAGCATGTGATTTGCCCAGGTCCAGAAGGGTGGATGGGCACATCTCAGGTCCCAGGGGCGAGACGAAAGAGGCAAAAATAAGATACCCTCCTGCCTCATCTTCCTGAGAGACGTTTATTGACTGCTTGCTACCTGCTGAGCCCAGCACTGAGGCTTTGGGACTTGATCTCATTTAATGTCATAAGAGCACCATGAGACCACCAGGATGGTCCCTGTTTTGCAGGTGGGGAAACCGAGGCACCAAGAAATGCAGTGACTTGCCCAAAGTCACACAGTTGCAAAGTGACAGAGCTGGGGTTTAAACCTGATGATTTAGCTGCAGGGCCCATGTCCTTTCCACACCACACTTCCTCTGTTGGTAAGCTGCAAGAAGAAGCCCCTGGGCTGAATTTGGCCCCAAAGCTGCACAGTCCCCGGAACAAAGAAAGCATAGGGAGTCAAGCATCAGCACTTCCAGGCTTCCACCAGGAAGAGAAGCACATCACTTCCGCTGACATTTCATCAGCCAAAGCAGGTCACATGATCTTGCCTGACCTCAAGGGGTAGGGAAGTGTGATCAGGAGGAAAGGAAAAACAGGTATATCGTTGAGCACAGTAATGTCTTCCACACTCTCCCATGTCCTCCTGTGTAGGTGAGGCTGGAAATGTGGCTGAGGGGCAGTGAGGCCCCTGCTGCCATAGAGATTTTGCAGAAATATTAGGCACCTCATACCTTCAGGTCCAAGCTGGGGAGGCACGGATGCAGCAGCAGCCCACAAAGTGAGCAAGGAAGCTCCCAAACTAGTTCTTTACAGACAAGCCCTTGGTTTCTAGAAATAAAACCCAGTGACTATACATCCAATGAAACCTAGATCTTGGCTGTGTACTGTCTGCTCAAAGCAACTGCTCCCCAAGCCCCATCCCACGGCTCCTGGAAACCCTATCTGCCAGACAGTGAGGGAAACAGCCAATGTCTCCATATTAAAAACAATCAGATAGCATTCTATAGAGAGGTTCCCCTGCCACAGGACAGCTTTATACATCACCAACCTCAACTCTGGCATCAGGAGGTCATTAAAGAGCAAGAATTTTGGAGTCAGGAGAATGGGGCTCACATCCCATCACTGTCACTTGGTTGACTCAGTGGACCCCTTAGCCTTCTGATGCTCAGTTTTCCCGTCTATAAAATGGTTAATAATAATAATACTCTAAAATGAGTGTGAGGCTATTTAAATGAGATCATTTTTTTTCTGAGGTGCTTAGCACTGAGGCTGGCACACAGTAAGTGCTTAATTTGTGCTTGCTGTGGTTAGAGCTAATTTCTAGAGTGTGAGCCTATGGGACCTCTTGCCTCTGTTGGCCTAGAACAAATAGACTGCCAGTTATTTCTTCAGCAAAGATGGGCTTATTCAGGCACAGCAGAAAATTGCAGTCTGGGATCTGCCACCATGGTGAGCCACGTGCAAGTCCCCCCGCAGGAAGGGAAGGAGAACCCTTTTATAGAGGGGGGAAAGGAAGTTGCTGGGGCTGTAGTGAACAAAGAGTCCGTGGCTTTTCATGGGCCGAGGAGTCTTTCTTCTTCCTGTTGGGCTCTGCTATTGTTGTGGGATGTGACAGCTCCCCTTTCTTGTCTTCCAATTCTAGTTAATTGAGGTTTCTGTTTATTAACTTTTACACCTCTGATCAGAGCTAAACTGAGAACAAGGAGGGGCCTTGGCATGCTGGCAAGAGAATGCCCAAGGGATCCTTCCTAGAGCAAGGCAGGGGCAGATCTCCCAAACAGTTCCATGTGTATGTTTAGAGCCACACAGCACATTTAGAGCAGTTTTAATAGACTCACTTGATCCCAGCTTCTAGCCTTGAAGGGGCATATAAATACTGAAGTCCCTTTTACACAAGTAAGATATTTCTTCCTCCCAGTGATTTTTAAAAAGCCTTTTACCCCCATGTCTTGTTTTTTCTTTCACTTAAATGTTGGGGAGCTAAACTATTTAGTTTATTTGCAACAGTTTATTGTAACCCAATATATTGTGTTTATTCCTGGCTGCATCATTCATTCATTCACTAAGTGGCTACCAATGCTGCCCTCCTGGAGCTTAAATCCTGTCCACAAGACAGACCTATAATAATAAGGTCTAAGGAAACAAGAACAAGTAAATTAGTAAAAAAAAAAAAAAAGAAAAAAAGGCTATTTTGAGATCGTCTTGAGGGTTATAAGGGGGATAAACGGGGACACATATCAGGGAGGGAAGGGGGAGGGGGAGGCACCGTGGGGTGGGCAGCAAAGGTCTCTCTGAGGAGGAAGCATCATCAGAGACCCCTCTAGGGGACTTCACAGTCTATCACCCTTCCTTTCCCCAGGATCCAGGGTCCCTTTCTCTCCTGGTCTCCTTGGTAACACCCAAATCCTAGCTCCTGGGAAGGGGGCTCAAAGAGGAGTAGGTCAGGACTTCCTGTCCAATCTGCCCTGGGAAAGGCTAGAGGGGAGGAAGTCCTGCCTCAAGAGGGCGGCAGGAACTTGATTTCCAGGCCAGTGGCTAAGGCTGCTCTGTTCCTACTTCCAATGTTAGAACCCCTCCTACAAATCCTTATGAATTCACCCATTTGTTTCTGTTCCTACCTCCACCTTTCTACCCCCTCCCATCATCTTTCCTCTGAACCACTGCTCCGGCCTCCTCGCTGGTCTCCCTTCTTCCAATCTTGCACCTACTATCCTTTCTCCACTCAGTGGCCAGAAGGTTGGGTTTTTAAAACTGCACATCCAGTCATCTCCCTTCTCTGCTTCAAGCTCTTCTATGGACTTTTCATGGCACCCAGAGCAAAATGCAGACCCCTCACCACTGCTCACAGGGCCCTGCCAACTCTGCCCCCACCCACTTCTTCAGCCCCATCTGTCCACTGGTCCTGTGCTGGAGGAGGGATGGTGAAGCCCTCCATATGGCCCTCATACCCCTTCCTCAGACATTAAAACACACCCACAGCCTTCAACAAGTTTAAGTTTTTCTGCTGTTTAATTTTTGAAAGAATTGAAACTTTGCGGGGGAGGGGGTGTGCATTTTGGGGTTATAAATAACTCATTTCATTTCCCATCGGCTATGACTTCTCAAAAGTCAAAGGGTATGCTCAGGCGTTCTTTCAAAGTGAGAAAGTGGATTTGGAAGGAGAAAGAGTCGCGGATCAGATTAGAATCTGGGCAGAGGAGCTTGGGGTGGACGATCCAAGTGGTAAAGAGTGGTCTGGCACGCTGCCACTTCTGGGGCAGTGCCGGGTATAACAGAGGAGTGAGGCTTGATGAGATTAGTGCCGCTGACTCAAGAGTGTCTTCAACACCTGGCCTGATTGTTCAGGCCTCAGACCACACTGCCCCCTCCTCCTTCGGCTCACGGTGAAATGGACCAAACCATCACTACATCTTGAGTTGACAGTGACAAAACCAAATGAACTGTTAATTTAAATTTAAAAGTGAGAAGAGGCTCTGTTAAGCATCTCCACCAGCTTTGGATGATACTGAGTTTCCACGAATAAACCAAGGATGCTCCTCAAAATTGCAGGGATTCCAGTTCTCTGCATGTGAGCGAGGCTGCTCCTTGATGCAGTGCAGCGCAGCAGATTTCATGGCAGGACATGCAATGAGACTTCTTAGGCAACTCCACTGATGTCCTATTTCAGCTGTAGTTGATGAATAACAAATGCTAGAAGCCCTCCAAAGAGCTCACTTAGTAGGTGTTTCTGCTACTAATCTTGAGTAACAAACCATCTGAAAACTTAATGGCACAAAGCACAGTTTTAGTGTTTGCACAGATTCTGTGGGTCAGGACAGCTTACCTCTGCTCCAAGATGTCAGGCCTCAGCTGGGAAGAACGGCTGGGGTGACTTGCTGTCTGGGGGATGGAGTCACCTGGGGGGGGGGGCGGTTCCTCACTCAGCTGGCTGGTGGTTGATGGTGGCTGTCGTCAGAACACCTACACGTGGCCTGTTCATGTGCTGGGTTCAAAGGCTGAGCATCCCAAAGGCACAGAATGGAAGCTGAATGGCATTTTTATGATCCAGTTTTGGAAGTCACGTGGTGTCACATCTGTTATACTCATTTAGTGAAATCATTCGCAAAGGTCCTTCCAGATTCATTGAAATGGCTGCTTTATCAGCGTTTTGTCACAATGTCACAGAGTCCTGCGAGTGACCCTACTGCCTCTGAAATTCCTTTCTTTCCTTCCTAACTTCTCCACCCTGGCCTTCAATCCCACACCTAAAATCTCAGTTGTAGGCTCACTAGGAGAAAGACTAGTCTTCTAGTCCAATCCTTCCATTTCTCAGATGAATCAAGTGAGGTTGAGAAAGGGCAAGGGCATCCCACAGATTGAAGTAACAGGCACAACATGGGATGCTGGCATGTGTGATAAAATTGCCTCTGAGGTTGCTGGTTCCTAGGAAATGCACTGTTCCAGTTACTTATCACTGATCACTAACCACTCCAAAACCTACTGGCTTTAAAAGCCCGACAACTTATTATTTATCATGCTTCTGTGGGTTAACTGAGCAGTTCTTCTGTCACATGTGGTGTTGGCTGGGGCACTGGGATGGCTGGAACATCCAGTGCTGGGCCTTAGGACTTCCCTTCGGCCTGAACAATTGTTTGGCATCTGTCAAGCATTCAGAGAGAAGGTTGGGTCCTGCCGGTGTCCTCCTGTAGAGCCTGCTTGTCCCAGGCCCTAGGTGGGCCATTTGCATTGGCCTTTGATGCCCTGGCAAGTCCTGCCAGTCCCTCTTGTGCCCAGGTCCCACCTTGGGGTTGGGCACCAAGACCCTTCCACCAACCCCAGAAGCACCTACAAGCAGTGTGGAGTGGACTGTAGTCCCTACGGGCACCAGACCAGCCCTGGACTCCCAGGCTGAGCCCTTCTAGTTTGTACTGTGGAGCCTTGACCTCTCTCTGACAGCTCAAGAAGCTAAGTCCTTTGAATCAACAGATCATCACCATCAAGGTCATCACAGCCGTTTACTGAGCGCTTACTCTGTGCAGGGTGCTGCCCTGAGCACTCACAGCTAGCGCCGTGGCGGTATGATTACTTATCCTTCCTGTTCTACAGACGAGGTAGTGGAGGCTCTGAGAGGCTAAGCTGCCCGTCGGCATATGCAGTATGTGGGCGGCAGGGCTGAAACTCTTTCCTAGGCCTACGACGCTGAAGCTGGTGCTCTACTGTCCAATGATGACAGAAGTCCCCACCACATGGGATTGTCATGAGGTTTAAATACAGGGTGTGCGGGAAGGAAGGAAATAGGGCACATACGAGATACCGATGTTTTCAAATGTTTTGCTGCTTCTGGGTTGTCGAAGGATAGACCTCAGAGAGTTCAGAGAGAATTTGCCGAAGATGACCCCTCCTGCGCTGCGGGGAGGTTGGGGGCGCTGGCTGCGGGGAGGATGGCTGAGCGGCGTGGGTGGTGTGATAGGAGCAGGTCGCTGAGCTGAGTGTGAGTGACAACAGAGGAGCTGGTGTGCTGAGCGGAGCACTGCTTCAGGACACCCTGGACGGCAGGCAGCGAGGGTGGGCTTGGGGACGTAGGCGGTAGAATATCCGGGGTCGCACCGAACAGGCTTCACAGGGGCACAGTCGGGGTGTCAGGTGCTCTGGGGGGACAGCAGGAGGTGGTTCACTGCGGGGGCAACGGCAGTGAGGGCTGTGGGGTGGCAGCAGGTGGCAGGGATGCTGAGGGTGGACAACCCTGCAGCAGCTGCGCTTTGTCTGGGGACGCCATGCAGGCCTAGGAGACTGCCTGGCCGGAGCAGCAAGGACGGCGCCGCAGTGCTAGGGAGGGGGCCGCGGCGGGCGGGGATGGGAGGAACCTTGCCTTTGACAGCCAGTCCCTGCAAGTGAATGCATCTGGCTGTGGTCTTGCCAGAGGTGCGGCCAGCCGCGTCAATAAGGACACCAAGGGCTGAGTGCCGGAGGCGACCTGTCGGCGAGGTTCCCTTGTTCGGAAAACGTTTCCTAGCTGGTTGCGGGGGGGG